GCATGAATATTCAGCAAATACCAAAACAGCAATGAAGGAAGTGATAACATGATTCATAAACAAAACGAGCTCAGCATAGAAAATTATATGGAACAAAGAAATCGACACCATGAAAAACCACATGATAAAAATTACAGCAACAAATTCATATTTGCCGACAATTACATATCTGGCAAGGGACTTATCTCTAAGGTTTATAGTGGAAGAGTAAATGACCAAACTATGGTACGTGGTACATACATATAATGAAATGCTATGCAGCATTAAAGAATAATGTAGAGTCTGCAACACTGCGTCACATGAATGAACTTAGAGGAAATTATGCTGTGTTAAGTAAGTCAATCACAGAAGGACAAATATAGTATTAGTTCGTTGTTGTGGAGGGTCAAGTATAGGTTTATATATGGAGGGAAACCTTCTTTGTTGGTTGCCAGGGGTGGGAGGGAAGGGCAAGTGGCAGCCATTTTGGGTATTTAAAGTGACTGAGGCGCAGCTACTCTGGCAAAAAAAAAAAAAAAAAAAAAAATGCATTGACCCGTGTCACTTTAGTTTTGTGTATTTCACTGTACATAAATTATATTTCAATAAAATGCATTAAAAAAATCCTACAAATAATAATAAAAAAAGAAACACTGATATAGTAATTACATACAGGAATCTATTGACTTTTCTTAAGAAAGACATCCTTTACAAGCGCTTTGCATCACATTTACTAAAGGATGACATGCTAAGAATTTACATTTGCTAATTCTTATATTGGGGAGCTCTGGTAGCATAGTGCCTAAGGCACTTGACTGCCAACCAGAAGGCTGGCGGTTCAAACCCATCAGCTACTCCTTGGAAGGAAGAAGGGGCAATCTACTTCCATAGTGATACTGCCTCGGAAACCCAAGATAGGGTCGCTATGAGTCGGGTACAACTCGACGGCACACAGCAACTATTCTTATATTCTTTAAAAATTTCTTTATTTTAATTAGGATTGTATTGTGTTTTTGGTAAAAGTATACACAGCAAATTAGATACCTATTTGACAATTTCTATACAAATTGCTCAGTGACATTAGTTACATTTTCCAAAATGAGTCAACATTTTTTTTAATTCCATTCTGGATGCTCCATTTCATACAGTGGATTTGTTGTTGTTGTTAATGAGAATATGCACAGCAAAACATACAACCATCCAACAGTTTCTACACATACAATTAGGGACATTGATTACATTCTTTGAGTTGTGCAACTATTCTCACCCATCTTTTTTGAGTTGTTTCTTTCTTATTAACATAAACTCACTGATCCCTAAGGTTCCTATCTAATCTTTCAAGTTGGCTGTTGTCAATTTGATCCCATATAGAAAACTCTTAAAAGAGCATAATGCTCAAGGCAGATCTTTTTTGCTAGTTAAGCTAAATTCTGGTGGTGTAATGCCAAGGTATATGACTGCTAACCAGAAGGTTGGAGGTTCAAACCCACCAGACACTCCACAGAAGGAAGACTGGGCAATCTACTTCCATAAGGAATTACTGCCTTGGAAACCCAAAGGGGTCACTATGAGTTCGAAATCGACTCAATGGCAGAGAGTTTGGTTTGATTTGGATTGTTCAATTTTAAGACTTCAGAGGATAGTTTGAATTTAAGGTTTAAAGAATTCTTATATTTTTATTATAAGAATTCTTGTATTCTTATTATAACTAAATTTTATATATTATTATACTAAGTTCTCTTAGAGGCTTTAAGTGACTGGTCACACAGTTATTGTTCTGGGGTAGTTCCCCCAAATCCCTACTAGTCTACCTACCATTGGTTAACAGAAGGATAGGTAATAGAGGCATTTAATGAATTAAGTTATTTTTTTAAAAGAAGGGTAACACTGCTAAAAAAAAAAAAAAAAAAGGCCAATTATGCTGGTATCCTTACTTGATCCATTAATTAAACACAGCATGGTTTTCCTCAAACACCAACACAGTTAATGTATTTTTTAGTAAAGAAATGTTTTAAAATATAACTGTCCAAAGATGTTCCATGTTGGTGGATTAAAAGACTTACTATTTTTCTGATGTCAAAAGTACCCAGAGTAATCAATAGAGTCAATGCAATCTCGATCAAAATTCCAACAGCCTTCTTTACAGAAATAAAATCAATCCTCAATTTTATATGGAAAGGCAAGAAGCCCCAAATAACTAAACCAATACTAAAAGAGAATAAAATAAGAGGACTCACGTTTCCTGATTTTAAAAACATATGATACACCTATAGTAAATAAATATATAGGACCTTATAAAATTTAAAACTTTTGTTCATTAAGAGACTTTACCAAAAAAGTGAAAAAGCTACTGCTTGGGAGAATATCTTTGGAAACCATATATCAAACAAGAACCTAATAACCAAAGTATATATAAAACACTGACAATGTAACAACAAAAAGACAAACAGCCTAATCATAAAATGGGGAAAGGACTTGAATAGACATTTCCCCACAGAGGACATTGAAATGGCCACCAAACACATGAAAAGATGCTCAGCATCATTAGCCATCAGAGAGAGGCAAATCAAAAGGACAATGAGACACTAAGATAACAAACAAATGAACAAAATCAGAAAATAGCAAATGTTGGCAAGGATATGGAGAAACTGGAAACCTTATCCACTGCTGGTAGGAATGCAAAATGGTACAGCCATTGTGGAAAAAAGTGTGGTGAGTCCTCAAAAAACAAAAATTAAATTACCAGATGACTCAGAAATTCCACTCCTAGGTTTATACCCAAAGACTTGAAAGCAAAGATTCAAAAATAGACTTGTGCACCAATGTTCATTGCAGCATGATTCACAATAGCCAAAAAGTGAAAACAACCTAATGCCCATGAATAGAGAAATGGATAAACAAAACAAGATGTGCTACAGTATGGCTGGAGCTTGAAGACACTATGCTGAGTGAACTAAGTCAATCATAAAAGGACAAATATTGTATGACCTCACTTATACAAAAGGACAAGTCAAAGGCAAATGAATAGAGACCAAAGTTTATTAGTAGTTACCAGGGGTAGGAGGGAAGAGGAAAAGGGCAGTTAACAGTGATGGAACTATCTCATTAAAGGAAAAGTTGCACAGCTGATTATTTTAATTGCTGTCAATAAGTTATTCACCTATAAAAAGTTGAATTGGCAAAGGTGTATGATAGAGATATTCACAACACAAAGAGTAATTGAGGCTGCTTATGTATACCACACACCTCATAAGATTTGGTTCCTTGGTTTGGAGGTCTAGGGTCATGGTTTTATTAAATATCCCAGTTAATTAGCTTAATAACTGGTTTAGTGCTTCTGTGCAACCTTGCAAACTTGCAAGTGGCCATGCAAGACACAACAATTGGTCTCTATTCACCTGGAACAAGAAAGGAAGGGTGAGTCAGGAGTAGGAATAGAATATAGAATGTGTAGCTAACAGCCTCCTTGAACAACTGCTTTCTTTGCCATGAGACCAGAACTAGATGGTGCCTGACAACCATTACTGAACATTTTGATCAAAAATTCCATAGAAGAATTCTGATCAAAAGAGGGGAAACGCAGAACAGAATTTTAAATTCTCATGGACTGTAGACTTCCTGACGCTATGGAAGGTAGATGAACTCCTGAAGCTACTGTCCTGAGATAATCTTTAAACCAAAAATATTCCCTGAAGTCTTCTGAAAACCAAACAATAGTTTACCTTGACTAGTGAAAAAGCCACTCCTCGGAAGGAAGGTTGGGCAATTCTACTTCCGTAGTGATACTGCCTCGGAAACCCAAGGAGGGGTCGCTATGAGTCGGGGCTGACTCGACGGCAAATAACAACAACAACAACAGTGATAAAGGTCTGCTTTGGCCGTTATGCTCTTTTAAGAACTGTCTATATGGGATCAACTTGACATCAGCAACTCGAAAGATTAGTTAGGAGCGTTAGGGGGCAGTGAGTTTATGTTAACAAAGGAACAACTCGGGAAAGGAGGGTGAGAATGGTTGCACAACTCAAAGAATATAATCAGTGTCACTAAATTGTACATGTAGAAATTGTTGAATAGGTTTATGTTTTGCTGTGTATATTCTCAATAACAAAATAAATAGGTGGCAACTTTATGAAAACTTCTTAGCCATAAATAAACACCTTGTGGGAATGAGCTGTTGGGCTTGGGGACTCAGGACCATAGTCTTGGGGGACATCAAGGTCAACTGGCATAACATAGTCCAAAAAGACAAAGTTCTACATCCAACTTTTGGTGAGTCAATTTGGAACATAAAAGCTTATGAGTGGCCATCTAAGGGCAGCTATTGGTCTTTCTCCCTCTGGAGCAAAGAAGAGTGAAGATAATCAAAGATCCATGGAAAGAATTAGTCCAAAGGACTAACAGACAATGCAAATCCCCACCCTCAACACCTTGAGACCAGAAGAAGTAGATGGTGCCTGGCTACCACTGCCAACCATTCTGAAAGGAATTACAATAGGAGGCCCTGGACAGAGTGGGAAAAAATGTGGAACAAACCTCAAAACAATAAAAAAGACCAGGCTTACTAGCCTGATAAAGACTGGTAGAACCCTCAAAACTGTGGCCCTCAGCCACCCTTCAAGCCTGGAATTGAACTTACCTCAGTTGCTCAACTTTCAGACAAACAATAGACAGGTCTATAAGGTGAACAACTAACACCAGGGAAGTCTGCACTCCTTAGAACAATTAACCACACTATATCAAAAGAACAGCATTTGCCCAGGAAGAAAGCTCAGAAGGCAAGAAGGGATGGGAAAGAAAGATAAATGGAAATGGTAAATACTGGGAGGAAGTGGAAAGACTGCTATCACATTGCAGGAACTGCAATCAAAGTCATGAAACAAAATGTATGAATTATTGAGTAGAGAACCAATTTGATCTGTGAATGCTCACCCAAATCACAACAGAAAATTACAAAAATAAATAAATATAATTTAAAGAAAAAAAAATATATAAGTGCCCTAAGGTAAAAATTTCAGACTTACTCTATTAGTGGTGCTCCATATAGAACAAATATTACATGAAAGCTGAAACAAGACACAAGAAAGTAGATACAGCATTTCAAAAATCTTGCTACCTAAAAAAGAAATGAATAATTTGAAAACTCAATAGAACACGTAAGAGACAGCAAGTTATTCCATTTTATCTACAAATACAAAACATTACCACGTTATGTGAAACACCTAAATATTCTCTACATTTGAGTACTAAAGAGTCAAATCACACATCCTGCACATAGTCAAGCACACGGTTTGTAATACAGCAGTGTAAAAAAGAAGGCTAAAAGGCACGTATCACCCCCTCTGATGCCATCGCAAAAAACACTGCAGTGAAAGAGAGGTTCTGTTTCTATGGCATATATTGACCTCTGCCATTAATGAGTATTTAGGAAATATTTACTGATGATAAAGTGTAGGGATACAAAAAACACAAAACAGTCCTTTTTACCAAAGAGCTGCTGAGAATACATTGAATACATTTGCAGAATAAAAATGACCTAAATAATTTACTTCATTTAAAAAAAAAATCCTAAGGAAATCTGTACCAAAAAAAACAAATTACTAAGTAATCTCGCAAATCACATTCATACGACCCATATGCAAAAAGACCTGGTTGCCTGCAAATCAGCATGTGGGACCTGCTTGATTTGGAGCTTAAGAAGATATCATTGTAAAGCATACACACTGAGCATTAAAGTGCCTTAAGTCATCTAACAGAGCTTACACGTAGTAGTGAATAATGTTAAGTGAAGACTTTATTAGTTTAAACAGTCACCATGCCATAATGCAGTGAAGTAACTAATATTGCAGAGAATAGATTCTAACATCTGAAAATTTTACTACTGTTTAGTCAAGGTAGGCCATGTTCAAAACAGAGGTATCATTGGAGGCGTATTTTACAATTCCTAAAAAGCTCATTAATACCTTTCAAAAATGCAAAAATATATGACAATAAACTGTCTTAATCTCACACTGCATAGCAAGCATCTATCAAACATTATAGATAGCCTTCTAGCAAGAAATAGGCTACTGATTCAAAAAAGGAACACCAAGGTAGTGAGAATTGAACTAATATTTAATTCTTCCATTAAAACAAAAAACACTAGCCCCATTCTAAAATCAGTTATGAAGAAATAAGCCTTACCTTGTGTGTTAATGAACTTCTTTTAGAGGGTGTATTTGGTTTCACTACTGAATATAATACAAGATTGACAACAGTTACAAAAACAGAACAGATACACAACCAAATCAGGTGGGTTTCCAATATTGAGAAGTTCTCCAAAAAGAGTGATGGAATGAAGGTACTCAGGATAACTGAAAATATGCACAGGAGATGGGCATACAATAGTCTCTTGATATCAGTATCTTTCATGGTGTTTTCTTGGTTAGCTATCTGATGAAAAACAAATTAAATTAATGACATAAGAGCATATGCAATAATGACCTTTTCCATTGTCCAACCTCTCAAAATCAGCCGTAAGTTAAAGTCAATTTATGGAGAATAATGTATTCATTTCAAAACACAGGAAGATGGATATGCGTAAATGCACATGCAGATTTAACACTATATTTTACCTTAGATTTTCTTACTATGATACTGATACGTCTATGCAAACAGCTCTCAGAGCCTAAAAAAGACACATTTGCTAGTTTCTGAAGTATTTACAACAGGTTTCTGCAAAACTGATACGTGCTAGGCCCAAACAAGCAACACTTTTTACTTTTCTTTTTTTTTTTTTGCCAAAAATCACGGAGATCAGAACTGCATGGATTAAATAATCTGTCCCCACTGGAAATATAACCTATACTTTTTAGAAACCCCATGAATATACTGTGGCCAAGTTGGTGGTGTTTTTTACCATTATGGGCCCTTGGTCCCACATCACAGTACTTCACATCTTCTAGCAAATGCCAAGTGATACTAAGTGTAAACTTGAATATTCAAATGATGATGCCAATCAAGAACACTATGCTAAGGGATGCCAAAAATCAAAACCAAAAACCAGTTGCCATCCAATACATTCTGACTCATGGTGACCACATGTGTTGCAAAGTAAAAGTGTGTTCCATAGAGTTTTCAAGGTTGTGATCTTTCTGAAGCAGATCACCAGGGCTTTCTTAGGAGCCCTGCCACTCAGGGACTTCTAAGGAATCCCAGTCCTCCAAAAATACTAAAATGATAATGTCTCTTGGATGGATATTTAAAGAATGATGTTACAGGTGCCAGATTCCAATCAAAAGTAGAACATTAATGTAAAGAGGGAAAAAAAAATGTACTCGAGACACATACACACACAGAGTGAGAGCAAAAGAGCACTTGAGAGAATAACTTTCAAAGGCAAATATTTTACTGATTAGGAAACAAATTATGTTAGGAGACACATCCAAGGTCTCCAAAGTGCTAAAACCACTCCAAAGCCCAGCCTCTTTATATCACACCAGGAATGGGGGAAAAAAATTAAGGGCAAGAAAGACAAAGGAAAACTTTCTCACAGGTTTTATCCTAAGCTAACTGGGGAGGAGGAGCATTCTTTCTCACAACAGACACTCCTTCGGATTCTTCTGGGCCATTCTCAGAATGCCAAATGACATCAGTAGATTTGGATCCAGGGCTATGAGCAGTAGCCAAACTCAAATGCTTTTTGAATGAATGCACGAACGACAGGCAGTAGGTAAAGAATTTGCCTACAAAGAAACCTGGGGGCCCTTTCTGAGAAACTAGCACTGTTAGGCCTTGGCGTGCCCACGAGGACGTCTAACAGGCGCCCTCTCGGGAGGCAACTGCCCCGGTGAGGTCGGTCAGACCTGGTCCAGATTGACAGAAGGCATCACGGCGGGAGAGAAGGCTCCTCCGAGCTGCTTCCAGAGCAGCCTTCCTGGGAATGGTAGGACGTTCATCTGCAGCCACACCCCTCATTAATCGATCAGGGCTCTGCCCAAGCTTTAACTGGAGGGATTATAGGTCAAGGAACATGCTGAGAGGTGTAATCAAAGAGCACAGGTGGTGGAGACCAGGGAAAGTGAGGTATAGAGGTAGAAAGATACGAAGAAGGGTAGGTCTATCAGGACCGCCGAAATAGATGAACTCGATCGGAAGGTGGGGCACAGAAACTCGCGCCCACTTCTGCAGTTGCGGGGGTTACTTGCACCTCCGGAAGGTGAGTGTGCAAGGGGCTCCAGCTAGGCTTACCTAACTCCTCCGCCCGCGGAAGGGAAAGGGATGCTACCGCCACCCACCATCAGGTGCGAGTCTCTGCCCTGACCCTAGCGCAGGCGCAAGGTTGTGGGGGCGGAAACTCAAGACCAACCAACCAATCGCAAAAGTGGAGAGGCAGGCAGATTGAAGATGCCCCGCCCACTTGATGGCGTTTATTCCTCCCGCGGCTTTCCAGGTATAGGATAGGCGGAAGCTTAGGATTGAGGCCGGAAGTAGATACGAGTACCCGGAAGGGAAATCCTTTACGGACTGTGGTGTTGATGTTTTGGAGCTGGTGTTGGTACTGCTAAGGGAATCGTCAATCGTCCTTCTAAGGATGGTGTGCGAAAAATGTGAGTTAAGGGGCTGGTTCTGTGGGAGAAGGAGACTAGGAGAATTTAGCTGGATATCCCCGGGACCTCTGCCCTTTTTTTTCCTCCCGCAGATCTCTTGATTCTGGTGTCTATTCTATCCTGCCCTTTCACCATCCTACCTCTTCTTCAGTGACGACATACCAAACCATATCCACTGTTGTCTAGTTGATTCCGACGCATATTGACACTATAGGACAGAGTGGAAGTGCCCTATAGGGTTTCCAAATACGTAAATCTTTACGGAAGCTTCTTTGTCCCCCGGAGCGCCTGGTGGATTGGAACCACCGACCTTTCTGTTCGTTGCCGAGCGCTTTAGCCATTTCGCCACGAGGGCTTCTAGCGACCAGGTAGTTCTATATCTTTTCCATTCAGAATGGTCTCAGTTCTGCATCTCTTTGTCTATTCTTGTTGAATCTGCCCAGCCCCGAATCTCATCCCACGCAGCTTTTTCACTGATTCCTTCCTCTCAGACCCTTCAGGGTTGGAATGGATCTTAAGTCTACTGTATCTTGTGTTGGCAGATTAAGCAAATAAAAACACAGAATGCTCAGTTAAACTTAAATTTTAGATAAACCGTGAATTTTATTATTTATTTATTTATTTTGCTATGTCCCATGCAGTATTTGGGGCTTGGCTATGATTATTGTCCTTTGTAATATTTAGGACATGTTTTACTAAAAATATTATTCCTTGTTTATCTGAAATTCAAGCTTAACTAGGCAGGTGAGGATGGCAAGACGTCATCTCAGTTACTTTGTACATATTATCAGGAGGGACTAATTCTTGGAGAAGGGCATCATGCTTGGGAAAATAGAGGGTCATTAAAAAAGAGGAAAATCTTCAACAAAATGGATTGATGCAGTGACTGCAATGTGGGCTCAAAGATTCCTACTAACAGGACCTGGGAATGTTTTGTTCTGTTATACATGGGATCGTTATGAGTTGGCACTGACTTCATGGCTTCTGCATTTTATTTGTCAACCCTAAGTCAGCTACCCATCTAATGCTTTATATACTCTTTGCTTGAATACCTATAGTGTTGGGGCAGGCAGGGATGAGAGAGTCTCACCACCTCCAAAGCAGCCTTTGTAGACATTGTTAGCTTTTAGAAAAATACCTTCCCTGAGAGTTCCAGTAAGATGGCGGACTACGCAGAAAGACGCCACAGACCCTCTTCAACAAAGAAAAGGGAAACCAATGAACACAGACACAGAAGATAATCCTGGACCCCTGAGCCTTGAAGGGGAGTATGTAGAAGTGGACTAAACCCCAACTAGCAGAACAATTTGCATGAAAATACCAAAAAAGGAGACAGACGGAGCTGTGGTCTGGCAGTGATCCTGAGCGAGCCTGACGGCATGGCACAGGCAGGTTGGAGATTCCTGAGTCATGGTAGGACCTAAGAATTAACCTAAAAATCAGCCTTGCTAGCCAGGGACAGCACGAAGACTACTCTGGTGGCTGGGGAATAAACGGAGAAGGTGAAGAGAAAGGCAGGCTGAGCTGTGGACTTTTGCTGGTCTGGAGGACGCTGCCATTTTGAATGTTTAAAAGCAGCTTGACTATTTTGGATATTTAAAGAGACAGCACTCTGGCAGATTCCTGGGGCTTAAGAACACGTTCTACTTGCCAGCAACGCAAGGACACTCCGGACCTGCAACTGAAAAGGTGTGACATTCCTCTTGTTACTCTTATACCCCACACCCACTTGGTGAACGGAGGTGCTGCCATCCCCACTCCCACCTACCTTCTGGGCCCACAGGAACTCCATCACAGTCTGTGTGCTCAGACAGAGCCTGGGTGCCCTGCCCTGTCCTCCACCAATTTTTTTTCTTTTTCGCTTTCTTTTTTCTGGTGATTAGTTTGCTTGTATTTATCTCTTTTAAAACAACTAATATTATTAATACTTTTGTCCTTTTTACTATTATTCTTATTCTTCCCCTCCAAGGTCCTAGTTTTCAGCATTTTTTCTTTTCCGTGTTTCTGGTTGGAAATTTTTTTTTTTTCATTTTTCCCATTTTTTTCCCCTTCATTATTCTCCTTCTCTACCTTTTTTCTCTCAGTGCCCTATCCCCAGATATTGCAGAATTTCTTATCTTTTCTTCTTTCTCCCTTTTTTCTTTTTTTGGTTACTGTTCCTGTGTGATTACATGGTGTATTTTTTGCCTATGTGCTTTTAGTTTTTTGATGGTTATTCAATTGTAATTTTTGTCTAACTGAGTGGGAGACAGCAACAGTCCCCATAAGACACAACTACACCCACACCGCCTGCAACTTCACTTACTGAACGAAAGCCACTACCTCCTTCTCCACCAATGGGCCAACAATAAAAAACCAAGAAAAAGAGCCTGAACCACCCTTGGCTGCTCTTCACAAATAGTTAACAGAGATCTAAATACAATAGCGCCACAATGCCTCAGAGACAACAGACCATCACAATCCACACAAAGAAGCAGGATAAAGTGGTAGAAACAAGGGAGAAGGATACAGACCCAGAACACATCCCTGAGGAAGAAGCGGCATTGGAACTCTCTGATAAGGAATTCAAAAGAATTATCTTTAGGTATCTTCAAAGGATTGAAAGACAGACCAAAGAAAACACAGAAAAAACCTTACAAGAATTGTGGAAGAAAATACAAGAACAAAATGACAAATTAAATGAAAAATTAGAAATGATTTTAAATCTACAGAAGAAATCCAAAAGATTGATACTAAATTGTCAGAATTAGATAACACATTGGAAAGGCAAAGGAGAAGAATTGATGTGATGGAAGACAGAATTAATGAGATGAAAGAAAAATACCTGAATACTTCCTTGGAAAAGGATCAATCAGAAAAAAAATCAAAACAAAATGAAGAAAGCCTAAGGTTCATGTGGGATACCATCAAAAGGAATAACTTACGTGTCATTGGAATTCCAGAACAGGAAGAGAAAAACAAAACCACTGAGAAAATTGTCCAAGATTTGCTAGAGGAGAACTTCCCTGATATGATGAAAGATGAGAATACATCCATTCAGGAAGTCCAACGAACCCCAAACAGGATAGACTCCAAAAGAAAATCACCAAGACACATCATCATCAAACTCATCAAAACCAAAGACAAAGAAAAAATCCTGAAAGCAGCATGGGAAAAAACAAAAAGTTACCTACAAAGGACAGCCAGTAAGAATAAGCTCTGATTTTTCAGCAGAAACCATGCAAGTGAGAAGGCAATGGGATGGTATATATAAAACCCTGAAAGAGAAAAATTTTCAACCAAGAATTATATACCCGGCAAAATTGTCCCTCAAATATGAAGGGGAAATTAGGAGATGTCCAGATAAGCAGAAACTAAGGGAATTTGTTAAAACCAGACCAACCTTACAAGAGATGCTAAAGGGAGTTCTTTAAACAGAGAACCAAAAATAGCAAATAACAACCAACCATTAATACACAAGATGACATAACCCAAAAACCACAGCTATGGACATATCCAAAGTAAAATGAGCTTACAAGATTGTAAACAAGGAACCAGAGACATCAATTGGCAAGTGAGGACAACTACAGACAAAAAGAGGGAAAAGACTGTGTAGTTACAGAACTTCTAAATGGCAAGGAAGTTAAGAGAGTTGCAGGATAGAATGGACTGTTCTAAACTCGGGGAGAAAATTATTATGCTGAGTGAAATAAGTCAATCACAAAAGGACAAATATTGTATTAGTCCGTTATTATAAAAGTTAAGGAAAAGTTGGTATCTATAGAAGGAAATTTTCTTTGATGGTTACCAGGGGTGGGAGGGGAGGGAACGCTGTTAGATAAATAGAGATAGGTATTGATTTGGGTGAAGAGAAGGGCAGTGTATCAAATGTGAGTGACCAATATGGTGGCATTAAGGATGAGAAAGACAGAGAGGTACATGGGAGGTACAGACAACAAAGATGAACCCTTTTGCACATACAGTACTGCAGTGTCAGTGAAGGCGAACAGGGATATATGGGTGGATAGATGGGTGAGCAGGCTGAACTATTAGGTATATCTATGAAATGGGGGAAGTGTATTCAAGACTATGTATAGGGTTGGCAGACAATGGTCCTATAAGTTTATATGAATGATCAGAATTCCCAGGTGTATAGTAGAGATGACAAGGGGCAAGGGTGTGGTCACTGCTGGTCACAGCCAGCTACCCCGAGGGACCGAGTAGTTGAACCTGTGGGCTTGGGACCATAGTCGCAGGGGACATCAAGCTCAATT